TCTTTCTCTCTCTTAGCTCTAAAGGGAACTTCACTTAGCACTTATGACAGACCAAAAGATGTTATTTATTCTTTCTCTCTCTTAGCTCTAAAGGGAACTTCGCTTAGCACTTATGACAGACCAAAAGATGTTATTTAAAGAAAATAGAAGAGAACTGAATGGAGAGAGATATGTGGGAGAGAGGTAGGTGAGACGCGGTAGGTGAGGTAAGTAAGTCATAGGCTCCATATATTTAACATGGCATACTTGTAAATAGCAAATTTTAGGTGTTAGATATGTAAATAAATAGGAATTGGAGGGTATGAATATAAATACCCAGAAAAAAAAAAACATTTAAGTTTATTTGACCTCTATGAGTTGGTCAATTTTCTATTATCATTCCACCAACCTCCAACCGTCTGCCAGGCCCCAGCAGTCTTGCGGTTAGAAAAGAGCGGTTCAGCAGTTCTCACGCTAATAACCCTGTGGCCAAGGTGCACATTCAATTTTTGAAACAAAATGGCCTGTTTAAGAAGACTTCAAACCTATTATACAAGGAACCACGTTAATGATCTGCTAACTAACAATTGATTGAGCAAACCAACTCTTATTTTTTTACCCATTTCTGATAAAATCTAGTAAAAATAAGATATTAATGCCCGAGAAATTTCTGCATTTATCAATCTGCTTAATTATACCAATGGATTAAAATAAAAAAGGAGTTTGCTGATGATGAAAACAATAATGGATGCTCTAAGGAAAATATGAGTAGTAAACTACTTTAGCATGATATTGTGAACACTAGGCCGGAACAATATGCTAATCATGTATTATATATATTTAAGGTAACAGTTTTCAGTTTCATCCAGGCCAGGAAAACATTAACAAATAATTTCTATAAAACCAGCGTGATGAAAAAAGAAGCAGAATCCTGCTTGAACACACAAACCAGAATCCGGCATTAGCATTCATATGTTAAATGTATTCAGAAGAAGCATTTTTGTAATGAACTTAACTTCTGAAATAACATAATAAATGCATGGTTTTCTTGTCTTAGATTCATGTATTTGTTCCCAAGCAATCCTATAAATTGGTTGGTTCCGGCAAATTTCTTATGGAATTCTAATAAAACTCACAAAATGTTTAATCATGATGCACGCAAGCTTTTATAAGTTTGAATAACACAAAGCTATGTCTACAATTGATAGTTAATTGAACAGAAGCATTGTTAAGGTGTAATACCTTCAAGGCGAACAAGTTCCCCATAAATTTGTGCCGGACAAGTTGAACAACACCACCACTTCCTTTTCCAATAACTTTAATCGTCTCAAAGTCTTCCATATTGAATTGCATATCCAAATCTTTAACATCTGGTGGCTGCACAAACGCATTATCAATCAGAAGCTATATTTGTAAGAAAAATGTTGTAAAAGAGAGTGCTATGTCAATTGTACAGTATATATTAAAATAAATAAATAGCATAAATGGGTTTGGCCAAATTTCCTTCCTTGCTATTGCAGAATTAATCGGTAATAAGAATGTTAGGATGCAAATTCTTGACTAAAGAAAATTCACAAATTTGCACAAAATATAATTTAAGCAAAAAATTACCGCCGGGAAGCAAGATTTGATTTTTTTTTTAAGAACAACTACACCGTTTCTTTAAAATTACATCATAACAGCACAAAGCACTTTTTGCTCGGAGGCATTTTTTTTCTTGTCATTTTATTTTTCTTCCTGTTTTTCCTTTAAGGAACAACTTTTCAGTTTCACAGAGGAAAGTCAGATTCAACCCCCACCAATACCCCCTTATCAAAGAATAAAGACTAGTACCAATTAAACTAGTTGTCATGTCTCGTTAAGGGAAAAAAGTTTTAAATGGGGATTTCTATGTTACCAACAAATAATATATAAACTAGAACCAATGTTTTAAAAGACGAAATCTGGAATTGAGGTGTTTTTTTTTTTTCTTTGCGATGCGAGGCGTAAATTTCAAAAAATAAATAAATAAATAAATATCATAAAATTAAACAAAATTCATAAAGATGACATTTGGCAAACCACAAATCTTGATCATTAAACTTAGAATTTAAATATGCTCATAGGCTTCAATACTTCACTTAATAACACAATATATAATATTCCCGAATCCCAAATATAAAGAAAAACTTTGAAATAAGATTGGAACGTTAAACTTAAAATTTAATAAAGCCACAAAATTCAATCCTCGGCCATAGTTTCCCAACAGAGTAAAGTATGTTGATTCATGAAGGACTCTTAAACACATTAACAGGAATTTCATTCTCATAAATGCATCTAGTAATATCTAAACACACTCTATTTTTGTGTTCTTTTGCAAAAGCTAAAGAAGGAATTGGTTGTGAGTTGATATTCTCATCTTCATCCATATTCACTATAAATTTATCCACTGGTCCTCGAGTTCCTCTATGAGGAGAATATAAATGACTTCCACTAATAGAACCTTCAAATTAAGAACCTATATAAGAGTTATTTCTAATTATAAATTTCATATTTCTTTACATTGTTCTTTTGAGATGGCATGATTTTTTAAATATCCGGCATACTCCTTAACTTCATCTGAAACTTTTTCACGTGCTCCAATATTTAAATATGTGCAAGCCAAATGATTTTTAAGCCTCTTCCACCTCCAATAATTCGCTTATCACAAAATTTACATTTCAAATAACCATATATTTTTTGCGTCTTCTCCTGTCACTTCAACTTGAGCCTAATTTTCAAGTTGGATCTTTTCTTCTTGCGCTACCACTCATTCTAATTTGAAAAAAAAAAAAGGTTGCACCTAGTTACCTATACAAAATACAAATGATTCAATAAAGGAATAATGAGTCAATGAAATTCACAAAACTAATCCCAATGAACATGAAATTTTGAGAAATTGCACATTTTATTGGTAGGAGCAATTATATGATGCCTGTTTTTTTAAGCTTTGAGAAAATCTCTGCCTTCATATGCAAATTACAAAATTAAATGCTATATTGTCTTAACAGCTAAAAACTTTGAAACTCTTAAGGAAATTATAAGAAAACCAAGCAACATAAAACTGAAGGTGTCTGAATCCCACAATTTGCTACACAATTTCAAGAGGTTTCACGAGAAATGATTTTGATTGGTGAAAAAAGTATAAAAATTTCACAATAAGAAAGTTCTATTATGTTCTTGACATTAGTAAGGGGCACATAAAAGAAATAGATGATCTTTGTGTACGATTTCAATCAATAACGTCATTCATTCAATAAGTTTTATCACAAAAGGATGTGAATTATTCGAGAAAACTCAGGGTTGGTTCAACCCAATTGACTGTTGGGTCGGGCTCTGGCTAAACATTTTGACATTTAATGCTTTGGTAAGGTTTGGGTTGAACAGCTGATCTAATTCTACCCTTCCAACCAATATATTTTTTATATCTAATTTATTTTTATTAGTTCAAATTTAAATTTTGAAAAGGCATCACTTAATGTGCATTTATGTATCATATTTGTATCGTTTTTTTGTATTGATGCTTGTTATATTTTATAAATATGCTAAACTAAACAAGTAATTTGGGCCAGTACTGTTATGGGCAAATCAAGTTTAGTTTGAACTTTTTTGGCCCGTTTAATAAAAAGGTTGGGATCGAGTCACACAAATTCAAGTGAAGCCAATTTTGAGTCAAACCCAAACTTAACCATTAATAGGAATTGACACCCTTGGCTGATATTGTCACCAACATTCCCTTATTTTACAATAGTGATGATGGAAATTTAAAAAAATAAAAAATTGTTATGCCTTTGATGCTCAACCTCTTCATAAGCTTTTACCCTCAAAACATTTCGTTGGTTGGAGTAGTTTTGCAATAAAATTTTCAAAAAAAATGTGTATATTTCAATTAGATATAAAAAAGAAGACAACAAAACCCATAAAATACTCACATTGAGACTCTAACTCATCATCACAATTGAAACCACAACGTTTCTACAATTAGCCAATTGATGTCGGATTTTTTATCAAAGCAAGAAACAACAATGGTCTCTATCAACAATCATCGTCGCCAAATTCCAAGGTCACGCCAACTATAAGTAGAACCAAGTAAACTACGATACGAGCGGGACTTAAAAGTAGGAACCGGCACTATTTTTAAAATGGGATGACTACAATCCTCCGACTTTGAGTTTACATAACATCGCCTTCAAACAAAATAAACTGACCATAACTTATCTAAGGCTTCTTCTGCAAATTAAACTACAGCTTGGAGAATTCTCAAAACAATCACAGGGAGGCCTGTTCCATAGCCATGTTTGCAATGTCATGATACCCATAACTTGCAGCAAGATATTGCAAACCACAACCAATAAACTGGCCCCTCCTTTTTTCCGAGCTGATTCAATTTGACTTGTGAAGACATTAGAAGATATGCCAACACCATGCTTCCTTGGTCAAATCGCTTTTCCATGTTTTCCATATGCCCAAATAATATGAAATAAATTTTGTTTTCGATTAGCAATATCCTCAACAGCAATCAATTACTGTTTGTGGCGATACTACAGTTGACCTTCCAACAGATACAAAAAGAGGCATTGCAGATTATACACATCCTAATAATATATATAATTCTTATAAATTCTAGACCAAAGCCCAACAAATTTAACCTCTAATCCTTTACAAACCGGAACATTAAAACACCTTTTGAAAATTACTCTTCAAAAAACAAACTGATGCAGATATACAGACCTCGCTACTACTCTCTTCAGAGATTAAACGCAACCCTTTCTTATTGAGTAGCAAATCCCCGTCCTGAAAAGTCCCACTTGCCGTCCTGGAAATTGACATGACAAGCCCAAGAACGTCTCATTAACATTTTAAACAAGGGAATCGCAGTAAATTGGGACAATCTCCACTGAATATAGACTCCGGCGCGCATCGACCGTCGAGAATATCACAAAAAAGTGGGAGTATGGGGAAGGTTTGATACGTACAAGAAATCAGTTACCGGCTTCTCTTGAGAGGATACGACGACCTTGAGCTTGTTTAGCGGCTTCTTGGTCTTCATGATCGCCGGGCCTTCAGTTTTCCTCCTAACACTGTTCGGATCTAGGTTTTTCTGCGCGAGCGAGAGAGAGATGAGAAAGATGATTAGTCAGCTGGCGGACGGCAGCATGATTGCATGGTAAATTCAAAAGACCAGACCGCCAACAGGTCAAAATGTAATATATATCTATAATTAATCAATTGCATGGTTTTTTATTAACTTATTCCATTTTTTTAAAATATCTTCACTTGTAATTTTTTTATAAAATAAATAATGTTATTTTTAAATAAAGTTTAAATTAATCTTTGATGTTTCTATGTGCTTGTAACGAGTGTCATTGTCAACTGCTATCATTGTAACTGTCAATTTTATTCTTTATTTTAATAAATAATTAAAAGTGGGGTTCATTGACATACACTTTTGGATAGGGGATGATTTTAATTGGTTCACCGTACACAGCTCTGTGTACGGCAGGGAAAAATTTTTTCAAAAAGATTTTACCATCACTCATAGCTACCACCACACACCTACCACTATCATTGTCGACTTTAGCATTGTCAGTCGCCCCTGCTACCATCATCAGTCAATCTTAGTTGCCACCATTGCAGCGGTCGCCCCACTTGTAGAACGCAACACCTGACATTTTCATCAGTTCTGATGTTAAATATTAAAACGTAGTTATGATACTAAACATATGTTTTCCATATCAAAAACATTAATAATAATAAATAAATCAAAGTAAATAGAAAGTGATCACAAGCAACCCCAAAACTTATAGAAAAATCTATCAAACGAAGAATTGATCAGAGTCGTAATTAACCCAACCAAGAATACCTAATGATCTAGTGATATCTAGGAACGATGAACACAATGTAAAGATTGTTCGAGTTCCCTGCAAAGTGGGGTGTGTCCAAAGGGGAACAATACATGTTAAAAATGATTAGAAAAAATTAAAGGTTCATCATTCATCCAACCATAATAAAGAACAATATTGAATGATTCATTTTTTTTTATTCAAAACATTATAGCAAAGGTTTAAACAATTATAGTGGTTTGATCAACTATAAATAGGGTTGTCAAAAAGGTTCTTTGTTTATGAATAGCTCGTGTTGGGCTCGTTGGTTAAGTAAACGAGCCGAACACGAACAACTCTTTGTCTATAGTGGTTTGATCAACTATAAATAGGGTTGTGAAAAAGGTTCTTTGTTTGTGAATAGCTCCTGTTGGGCTCGTTGGTTAAGTAAGATTATAAGCGAGCCGAACACGAACAACTCTTTGTTCGCTCGTGTTCGGCTCGTTTTAGCTCGAAATAAAAAATAT